AATGGCGAGTGGACTCATCGAAAGTCTAAACGCGACAAAAAAAGTATGTGCTGATTTTCGAAAGTATGTGTTGAATGGTGTATTGTTTCATCAGGTATATTCAAATTGTTATAATATCACTCTATTATTATTAATTTTTTTTTTTTAATATTGAAATTCGTTTTATTATCCAGTCACTTGGAAAGAAATTCTTGGCTAAAGACGCTTATGAAAATCAGTGAGTGCGATTTCTTTGAAAGTTTCAATTATTATTTTTTTTTTTATGATCACACTAAAAAGTATCTTGTATGGTCTAAAAGACAAAACGGGACAGCCGTTGGATTTATCACAGAAGCTAGGGAAGCATTACATCAATTAACTAAATGTAAATCCCCTACGATCGCAGCGCATGCAGTGCAAGAGTATAAAGAAGTGAATGAACTTTATAATATCTATGTTGGAATAAATGATACAGTGAGTTTTATAAAGATATTCTCCAGAGGCCTTAACAATATAGTTCAGTTTTTTTTTTTTTAAAAAAAAAAAAAGATCTTAACATGAAATTCCATTGGTAATTTGTTCTCTATAAAATTATCGATGGAATTTTGAAAAAGATTTTTAAAAAACGAATTTGTTGAGTTAAAGCTTCAATCAAACATATAAATCCACAAATAAGTATACGAATAATTAAACGTTATTTCTATATAAAAAGGTGACATTTCAAGTTGTTCCAAGCAAAGCAGATCTTCAGGCATTAATTCCTGGAGGTCGTACATCTGTAGATTTGATAGAATACACACCACCGGCGCCCGTTTTCGGGCCTGGGGTTGATAGAACCAGTAAATCGGAATCAGGATATATATTAAAAAATCATTATTATTAATGAATTTTGATATTACAAACTTATTAATTACATTTAATACAAAATATCAAGAATATTTGATCCAAATATTAATAAATTTGTATATATTTTCATGTAAACCAATTTAGGACATAATAATAAGACATGGTAATATATGTTTTGTGAATGGAAATTAAGTGTTATTTGTTATCTAAACCCAAAAACTCTTTAACTTCTCTCATTTCAACAGCTTGTTCAAGTTCTGCTGCAAGCTGTCAAGTTATATATATAAATATAAATGGAACATAATAAATATAATTTAACATGAATGGACCATAATAAATATAGTTAATATAAAATGCAGTATAATAAATATAAGCAATTAATAAAATAATTATAATCATACTCCTTTATATTCGCCATCGACAAAAATTTGAGGTAAGTCTTTTATACCTCTGTTTTTCCTTTTCATATATTTTAACTGATCTTCATCAGCAGCAACGTCGATGAAAGTGTATGGAATTTTATTGGAATTTAATATTGATTCAATAGATGCCTGCCTCTGTTTAAACAAAAAAAAAAAAAAAAAAAAAAATGAAAAAAAAAATTTTTAGGAACGGAAAAAGAAATTATATGAAATTGAAGTTTGAAGAAATGAAATAATAAATAATTTATATAATTTACATACAAAAATATTCCCAGCAACACTTGATCCATAAATATGAACACGTATTTTTTCCTCTGCCATCCTTGAATTTTTTTAAATACCTAAAAAGAAAAAGATGATGTATACTTTTGAGAAGAAATATTGTTTATTGTTACTACTTAATAAAGTTTACACTATTTTTAATCTTGGACTTACACAATAAAAAAAAGGAAAAGACCGTCACTAACTACGCCACAGTGCGTTTACAAAATTTATACGATATTGGTTTTGTCTACGTACACCCATTTTTTTTAAAAAAAAAGTTAATGCTATCAGTAAATTAATCATAATTAATTATTAACGTTTAAGACTATATATCGATGAATCTTTACATGTTGATTTGATCAAAAACTTCGACAATCGCCCAAAGGTGTTCCCAAGCACTTTATCAGTGGGTCGGGGTATAAAAAAAATTTTAATTAGTCGGAATTTGAACTGATCAAGTCGATAAACGAAAAAAAAATATGGAGGCGAAGCGAAGACCTTTCATGAGTTGTTCTTGATTGATTAAATTTTAAAAATTTCAATAATTACATTTTAAATATTTTAAACCGAATTTGGTACTGTACTGTAATGTTAAATATAGCTGCTAATTACCAGTTTAATTTTTTTTTTAAAAAAATTTTTTGAGCGAATCTAACATAACAAATCACTCAGATGCTTGTCGAGTTAGCTTTGCTCGCTCAAAATTAGATTGACTTCCCTTGATGAATCCACAATCGATCTAGAGAAATTTTGATTGTATATAATAATCCATATTTAGGAATTGTTTTGGTTAATCAATAAAATTGAAAATGGCTCTATAGCTCCATAGATCATATTAATACAGTAATAGGAATATATTTAGGAGGTAGTTAAAATTTGTACGTATGAATATTTTCATCGTACGTATCCTTAATATAGTACATAGTAAAAAGAGGTAAAAGTAGTAAAATATATTGTGTCTATTAGTGTTTCGAGCGAAATTCAATTTTGCATATAAAAATTGGGCGAAATTAATTTCGAACTTATAAGGCGAAACTCAAAAATGAACACTAGTATCTATTATAGAACCAAAAAACTAAAATTTTATTTTAAATTAATTTTATCTCATAGAATACATCAAATCCATTTTGTCTCATCAACTTTGAGGTTATAAAGGCTTGTTCATATATACATGGCATTTAGGAATCAATATAAACGTTTTGATTTATTGATTAAGAATGCTAGTCATTTTAGTAACGTCATACGATGAACCTAATATCTT